CTCTTGTTTGTTGAGTCAGGGTGTGAATGTCTATTTGAGATCTATGTTAGTTTATATCTATGTTTAAGTTCTAGTTGTTCTATTTCTATGTTTGGCCGGGTGTGATTCCCAATCAGAGGCAGCTGTCGCTCGTTGTCTCTGATTGGGGATCATACTTAGGTAGCCATGTTGCCTACCTTTGTTGTGGGATCTTGTTCTGTTTAGGCTTGTATGTGAATAGCCGGAAGACTTCACGTTACGTTGTTTCTTGTTTTGTTGAATGTTTATTTAGTTAATAAACATGTACGCTTTTCACGCTGCACCTTGGTCCGACCCGTCTCTCAACGTTCATGACAGACAGTCCATCATTACTTTAAGACATGAAGGTCAGTCAATACGGAACATTTCAAGAACTTTGAAAGTTTCTTCAAGTGCAGTCGCAAAAACCATAAAGCGCTATGATGAAACTGGCTCTCATGAGGACAGCCACAGGAATGGAAGACCCGTCGAATTGCTGCAAAGAAACCACTACTAAAAGACATCAATAAGAAGAAGATACTTGCTTGGCCCAAGAAACATGAGCAATTAGACCGGTGAAATTTTTTATTTTGGTCTGGAGTCCAAATTTGAGATTTTTGGTTAAAAAAAATAAAAAAATAAAAAAAAAACTGCTGTTTCTTTGTGAGACGCTGACCCAACACACCTCCAGGCTGTGTAAGGGCTATTTGACAAAGAAGGAGAGTGATGGAGTGCTGCATCAGATGACCTGGCCTCCACAATCCCCCGACCTCAACCCAATTGAGATGGTTTGGGATGAGTCGGATGGCAGAGTGAAGGAAAAGCAACCAACAAGTGCTTAGCATATGTGGGAACTCCTTCAAGACTGTTGGAAAAGCATTCCTGTTGGAAAAGCAGCTGTCATCAAGGCAAAGGGTGACTATTTGAAGAATCTCAAATATAAAATATTTTGATTTGATTAACACTTTTGGTTACTACATGATTCCATATGTGTTATTTCATAGTTTTGATGTCTTCACTATTATTCTACAATGTAAAACAAATGTCAAAATAAAGAAAAACCTTTGAATGAGTAGGTGTGTCCAAACTTTTGACTGGTACTGTACATCCAACCGCAGACCATGTGAATGGCATCGTGTGGGCGAGCGGTTTGCTGATGTCAGCGTTGTGAACAGAGTGCCCCATGGTGGCGGCGGGGTTATGGTATGGGCAGGCATAAGCTACGGACAATGAATACAATTGCATTTTATCAATGGCAATTTCTATGCACAAAAATACCATGACGGGATCCTGAGAACCATCCTGAGGCCCATCCTGAGGCGACAATGCAAATAGTCCGGGTAGCCATTTGATTAGCTGTTCAGGAGTCTTATGACTTGGGGGTAGAAGCTGTTAAGAAGCCTTTTGGACCTAGACTTGGCGCTCCAGTACCGCTTCCCATGCGGTAGCAGAGAGAACCGTCTATGACTAGGGTGGCTGGAGTCTTTGACAATTTTTAGGGCCTTCCTCTGACACCTCCTGGTATAGAGGTCCTGGATGGCAGGAAGCTTGGCCCCAGTGATGTACTGGGCCGTACGCACTACCCTCCGATCCCGTAGAGGTTAAGCTACTGAGCTTGAGCGGCAGGTTTGTTGAGAGGCAGCCGGATGTACAGGCCGGCGGGGTTATTGAAAGTGTGCATTCAGAGCTTCAGATCCTATCACGGTTTTAATTTATTCCCAGTATTTATTGAGATCTATTCCTGTATCATTGTATGGCTCAGTAGCTTATTAGCATCATAGTCTTATATCCTAGTAGCACCCTCTAGTTCTGTATACCAAATGCTATGTGCCTTGTCTTTGTATCGCTACTTCTTTACGTTAATAAATATGAATGATTGTGTAATACAGCGTTTGAGTCGATTTACCCATGCAACACAACAGATGTCAAAGATTAATCTGGAGTTCATAGATTTTTTTGCAACTAGCTCTCACAGTCTCACGTTAGAATTAGACGTTCGTCCATGTTTCTCAAACGTAAAATGTCGAAGTTGTTGAAAACATCAAATGTGTTTAACGTTAAGTTTAGGCATTAACTCCGAATTTTTAAGGTTGGGGTTAAGTTTAGGCATTCATTCCGAAAGGTTAGGCATTAACTCTGAATGGTTAAGGTAAGGGTTAAGGTTTGGGATAGGCTTAAAAAAAAATTATTCTATTGCTGGATTTGGCTGATCCGCCATCCCGTCCACAATGCCCTAGCAAATCCGAAACATACTTGAAGGTAACAGTGCTCACTGTTGCCCCTAGTGGCCGGTTTCCACGTCATCTCCCGACGTCCTCAGACATGGATTTACGCCGAATACTGACTTGTATCACGGATGACCTGGTAATTCCTCTTCACGTGTAGACTGACAATTTTCTTATACTGTAGCAAAAGCAAACTTCCACTGAATAGTACATAGATTATATATTTGTATTGAAAATGTAACAGATGAGGTACTTATACTTGCGATTCATAAAATTAAACCATAATTGACTTGCAATAAACTGTACATTCCTGCAGATATACATACAGTGTGTAGTCTACAGCCTCACTGCACACTCATTTGCTACGGTCCATTATTACCATATTATTATTATTATTATTATTACCATGACGAGTTTGTTCCACCTCTTGACCGATGAAGGCTATGCTGTGTTTACAGCTTATATTTTAGTCTGAGTCAATCAAATCACTGATATACAGTATACAGTGAGGGAAAAAAGTATTTGATCCCCTGCTGATTTTGTACGTTTGCCCACTGACAAAGACATGATCAGTCTATAATTTTAATGGTAGGTTTATTTGAACAGTGAGAGACAGAATAACAACAAAAAAATCCAGAAAAACGCATGTCAAAAATGTCATAAATTGATTTGCATTTTAGTGAGGGAAATAAGTATTTGACCCCTCTGCAAAACATGACTTAGTACTTGGTGGCAAAACCCTTGTTGGCAATCACAGAGGTCAGACGTTTCTTGTAGTTGGCCACCAGGTTTGCACACATCTCAGGAGGGATTTTGTTCCACCCCTCTTTGCAGATCTTCTCCAAGTCATTAAGGTTTCGAGGCTGACGTTTGGCAACTCGAACCTTCAGCTCCCTCCACATATTTTCTGTGGGATTAAGGTCTGGAGACTGGCTAGGCCACTCCAAGACCTTAATGTGCTTCTTCTTGAGCCACTCCTTTGTTGCCTTGGCCGTGTGTTTTGGGTCATTGTCATGCTGGAATACCCATCCACGACCCATTTTCAATGCCCTGGCTGAGGGAATGAGGTTCTCACCCAAGATATGACGGTACATGGCCCCGTCCATCGTCACTGGCAAAGACATGATCAGTCTAATGCGGTGAAGTTGTCCTGTCCCCTTAGCAGAAAAACACCCCCAAAGCATAATGTTTCCACCTCCATGTTTGACGGTGGAGATGGTGTTCTTGGGGTCATAGGCAGCATTCCTCCTCCTCCAAACACGGCGAGTTGAGTTGATGCCAAAGAGCTCGATTTTGGTCTCATCTGATCACAACACTTTCACCCAGTTCTCCTCTGAATCATTCAGATGTTCATTGGCAAACTTCAGACGGGCCTGTATATGTGCTTTCTTGAGCAGGGGGACCTTGCGGGCGCTGCAGGATTTCAGTCCTTCGCGGCGTAGTGTGTTACCAATTGTTTTCTTGGAGACTATGGTCCCAGCTGCCTTGAGATCATTGACAAGATCCTCCCGTGTAGTTCTGGGCTGATTCCTCACCGTTCTCATGATCATTGCAACTCCACGAGGTGAGATCTTGCATGGAGCCCCAGGCCGAGGGAGATTGACAGTTCTTTTGTGTTTCTTCCATTTGCGAATAATCGCACCAACTGTTGTCACCTTCTCACCAAGCTGCTTGGAGATGGACTTGTAGCCCATTCCAGCCTTGTGTAGGTTCTACAATCTTGTCCCTGACATCCTTGGAGAGCTATTTGGTCGTGGCCATGGTGGAGAGTTTGAAATCCGATTGATTGATTGCTTCTGTGGACAGGTGTCTTTTATACAGGTAACAAGCTGAGATTAGGAGCACTCTCTTTAAGAGTGTGCTCCTAATCTCAGCTCAGTACCTGTATAAAATACACCTGGGAGCCAGAAATCTTTCTGATTGAGAGGGGGTCAAATACTTATTTCCCTCATTAAAATGCAAATCAATTTATAACATTTTTGACATGCGTTTTTCTGGATTTTGTTGTTGTTATTCTGTCTCTCACTGCTCAAATAAACCTACCATTAAAAAAATTATAGACTGATCATTTCTTTGTCAGTGGGCAAACGTACAAAATCAGCAGGGGATCAAATACTTTTTTCCCTCACTGTACACATCATAGTCCTTTTTTACTGCACAATTTACTTTTTTTAATGTGCTGTAAATACAGTATATTGACAGAAGAACATATTATGGTATAAAACATCCCACCAGTAGCCTGTTTATTGTTATTTCCTCATCTTATAACATAAAATACAATCCAGGCAACGTTTACGTTTTTGAAATTTTATTTACAACCACATAAAATAAATACAAAAATCAAACTGACATATTTACAAATATTGAAAGTCACAAATATTTTCCGGATTATTTTTTTGTCACTTTAGGTCAGTGTGGTTTCAATATCCCAAACAATGTATGATGAATCACATTATATCAACATTCATACATGATCACAAAAAGCCACTTCGATGACCATCTCACTGAGGAGCGACAAGACTGCTGAAAATTAGGTTGCATAGCATTTGATTTCCTTCTAGTGCACACCATGAACAAATACAACATGTTGGTTTGGTTTACCAGAGGAAAATAAATCAAAGCTCAAAGCTTCGGTCCTGTTTCACCTACTGCATCGTATTTACCCTTACTTACAGAATCAAGCCAAGCCTAGCAATATTTTCTAGACTGCATTATTGTAGAACAGTTTCAGTGGCATCCTTTCTCTGCCACTGAATAGTTGAGTGGTGATCAATGATTTCAGGCAGTGCTGTGACCAGTTGCATGAAGACTCATCTTCCCGTTCTTCATCGTACTGCCTCCATCCAGATAGCTGTGTATTGCGATGGCTTGGACTTCTTGGGCTCGTCTTCTTGAGCCAGAGCCACACTTCAGATAGCAGATCAGATAAAATATCTCCACCACATTCAGCAGCAGAGATACACACGCCACCACCAGCATAAAGATGATGAAGATGGTCTTCTCTGTTGGTCGTGACATGAAGCATTCTACAGTGAACGGACAGGGAGCTCTGCTGCATTCAATCTTGGGGTCCAGGATAAACCCATATAAGTAATACTGACCCACTATAAACACTATCTCGAGCAGAATCCTGAAGAATATATTGACTATGTAACTGGCCAGCAATTCACCTTTGATTTTGACATGACCCTTCTCGTCAGAATACTTAGGCATTTTCCCCATCTCATTGCCTGCCTGACTTAGCCATTGCCTCAGTTTATTTTCCTTGTGGATGATGTGCATGACATGTCCCAGGTACACCAACGTTGGGGTGGAGACGAAGATGATCTGAAGGACCCAGAAGCGGATATGAGAGATGGGGAAGGCGTGGTCGTAGCATACGTTCTTACAGCCAGGCTGTTTGGTATTGCAAATCATATTAGACTGCTCATCGCCCCACACCTTCTCCGCCCCTGCTCCGAGGACCATGATCCTGAAGATAAACAGGACGGTCATCCAAACCTTTCCGATGACCGTGAAGTGCGACTGCACTTTGTCCAGCAGTGATGACAGGAATCCCCACTCTCCCATTTGTGCTGATAGCTCTGGCTAGAAAGAAGTAGGAAAAAACGATAAATGTATACGTTTGGGAAAACAAAGTGAAAGGTTGAGTTACAGTATTGGCAACATTCTGATAAATGATTGGAAATCTATGATGAGATTGAATGAAAAAATATTAAATGGGTAAAACAAAATAGTAGATGAGTAGATGAACAGAGAGCAGTCTGTGTTTCGGAGAGAAGAACACAAGCTGTTTATAGGATAGTAAGGCTTGAGTCAAGTAAGCTATAAAACACATTGCCTAACTGGAGAGATTTCACATGCTGTCCGTTATCAAGAGATGAAGTGTTTTCTGAGTCAAAATCTGATGTATAATATTTCAGCATCAGACATTATAATTCAGTATTTCAATAGCAAAATATATTACTTTTTTATATATACAGTACGTTACAGACAGGTCCAAAATTATTGACACCTTGATAAATACACACTGTATAAAATAAATAATATAAATACTAAGCTACAGTATATTGTATGCTCAATTGTTTTTGAAAATAAAATAATTTTATACTAATACAATTGCTCAGAGATTTTGTTTAACAAGTAATTTAAAAATAATCTAAAAAAGGTCAAAATGATTGGCACCCCTGTTTTCAATACCTTTCAATACCTCACCCTGCAAGGATAATGGCACTAAACATGTCCTGGTACTTGGTAAAGGGCCCAAGGACCAGTGGAAGAAACATAGCCCCATAACATCAAAGATCCACCACCAATGTAGTTGATGTTATGGGGCTATTTCACTTCTACTGGTCCTGGGGCCATTGTTAAGGTCATACGCATCATGAACTTTACCCAGTACCAGGACATTTTTGCCAAAAACCTGGTTGCCTCTGCCAGGAGGCTAAAACTTGGCCAAAAGTGCATCTTCCAGCAAGACAATAACCCTAAACAAACATCAAATCCACAAATAAATTGTTAATTGACCACAAAATCAACTTTTTGCAATGGCCATCTCAGTCTCCGGACTTGAACCGCATTGAAAAGTCCAAAAGCTCAGATGAAGGATATCAAGGATCTGGAAAGATTCTGTATGAAAAAATGGTCTAAGATCCCTCCCAATGTGTTCTCTAATCGAATCTCTAAACTACTGTACATATCTTTCTCTGAGCAATTGTAATAGTATAAAATAATTTCTCTATTTGTTTGAGCATACAATATAGCTCACTATTTGTATTATTTATTTTATACAGTCTTTTTTGCTCATCTTTATCAAGGATGCCAATCATTTAGGGCTTGAGTGTATATTCTGTTTTGAGTAACGTTTTGTTAGAAATTATTTAGATGTATTTTTATGATATACCCAAAGTATGTAAATGTGAAATGTCCCAAATAACACAAAATAGATATTGAAATAAAAACTCTGTTTTTGTTTTTGGTGATATTAGATTTGCATTCTTATGTGTTTTCATGTAAAGGGAAAACAACAAAATAGTTCATTAAATATGTCTTACCTTTAAACAGACACCTTCTGGGCAGAACACAACATCCACCAGTTGTAGAGGCAAATGTTAAAATGCTACGTAGTGCTACTAGTTTACCTTGAACTTTAGTTTTGTCGAATTGCACAATTTTCTTGTCGTGTGAGTTGACACGTTGTGCATGGAAATGACAAATCTGCTGTTTAGAATTATGTGTACCTGGGGATGATTGTACAAGTTAATAATTGGCAACACAATGGTAAAGTACATTTTAACGTTGAGTCATTTTGTATTTCCAAATGAGTAAGTAATAACCATGAAATAGCATTGTAATCTAAGCCATAGCCTGTGCTAATGATTTCTCATTGAAAATGTGGGTGGTCTAGGTCTAGGTAGGCAAAGGGTAATATAAGTTAATGAAATCTTAAATCAATAGTTTTCTTTGGATTTCCTTGGATAGTTTTACAATTATACTGTATGAAATTGTATTTTTGTTGTTGACAATGCCCTCTCAGAATATGTGCCTGGATTGACATTAATAGAATTCTAGCAAAAAATAAGGATACTTATTTTATTATACTATAGCTATAAGCCCCTTTATTGTGAGGGTTGGAGGACGTGCCATTCCTTATTTTCAAATTATGCCTATAGCAATATTTTCATACTGAAAAGTACACAGTATCCCACTCCTAGAACATTTGTCTGGATTGGTAGTTTGACAAAGTTCTGGTATAATAATAAGCCACTTTATTTTGAGGGTTGGGAAACATACAGATGTAGGATCTTAATTTGAGCCAGTTTGTTACAGCAGGATAATAATCCAGCAGCAACAGGACATGTGTATTATTAGGTGGATTATAATTAATGTATTTTTTTGTAGGGGTTGATACATTTTTCATTAGGTCAAATCAAGTCTGACATTTTAAAGTGGAAATTACAAACTTTAGAAGCCTTTTTAAACCTTGAATACACTACAGCAACAAAATGGTGATCAAATTAAGATCCTACATCTGTAAAGTCTTATTCTTCAGTGATGTTAATTTGAAAGCCATATTTGGTGTCCTAAGAGAATCAACTATTCCTTCATATGTATTATTGTGTCATGTTTCAGTGATTGTTTGATGAGTTTTCAGTCTCTCAATTTCATGCAACCACCATTAAAACATATTTATTTAATTTTTTACAATATGTTTTATTTATCATTTCAAAAAATAAACACTGCCTATCTAGATTGTATTGTAGGATAGACAATATCTCAGTTGTTAACATTCATCAGTCAATATACAAATCATATCAAGGTTTATTGACATTTAGGGGTAACATATCTGTGCAAGCATTTTCATTTTGTAGTAGTCCACAATTGAACAGTACACATTCAACATAAATACATAAAATACACTAACTACTAGTGCACTGTATTTAAATCAATAAACATAAGAAAACAAAACAGGTAGTGTATTCATTCAGATTTTCAACAATACAAAAGATCAAGATACATTCAAGGCTAATTAACTTTCAAGTGTTTTAGTGGTCACCTAGCAACCTTTTCTCTTCCTTTGCTCCTTCCAGACTACCCCCTAAACTCTGGCCACTCTCAAATTCCAGGTTCATCTTGTTCTGTCTCAGGGCATCCATCTCAGTATCCATGTGACCAGACCACCCAGGGGAGGGGAGGACGGCGGGGTTCGCTGCTGAGGTAGTGTGATTAGTGCGCCCCTTAGAGCCGCCACATCTCACTCTTGTGCAAAGCAGATAGAAAACCTCAATCACATTTAGAGCCAGAGACACACAGGCCACCACCAGCATGAAGATGATGAATATGGTCTTCTCTGTGGGACGAGACATGTAGCATTCTACAGTAAAGGGGCAGGGAGATCTGGAGCAAGGGAACATGGGGACCATGACAAACCCATACAGGTAGTACTGGCCAACAATAAAAGCAATCTCTAGAATGATCTTAAAGAATAGCTGGGTCAAGTAACTGCCCAACAAATCTCCCCTAATTCTGACCTTCCCTGCTTCATTGGTGTATTTGGGCTTCTTCAACGTGCCATTATCATGCTGGCTCTGAATTATGGCTCTTAGCTTGTTCTCCTGGCTGATGACATGCATGGCATGGCCCAGGTACAGAAGAGTTGGAGTGGAGATGAAGATGATCTGCATGACCCAGAAACGGATGTGTGATATGGGGAAGATCCAGTCATAGCAGACATTTTCACAACCAGGTTGTTGCGTATTGCATATGAAACCAGATTGTTCATCGCCCCACACACTCTCCGCTCCAGCACCCAGAACCATGATTCTGAACAGGAACAGGACACTCATCCATATCTTCCCAATGACCGTTGAGTGGGACTGCACCTTGTCCAGTAACGTGGAAAGAAAACCCCAGTCTCCCATGTTTGCTGATGTTCAATGGCTTTCTAAAGACAGAGAAGAAAATAGCCAGTTAATGAATTTGACAGTAGAAGGTCCATCTTATCTATGAGTCAGGTTGTCAATGTTTCCACTCACTTTTCAGCCTTAATCATTAATTTGACTTTTGGGGCATGCACACAATGGCATCAAGACCAAGTTCCTAAAACTGATAACCCTCTATCATTAAGAATATATATATTATTATTTTTTACAACATTATTGTATGTAATAACTATTGTGTATTGAATGATAACCCTACTTCAAAAATTAACTTAAAATGTAAGGAGTTGGTCACATAATGAAGAGCAACAAAAAGCACATGACAGGCTAGATCATAGTTAATGTCTAGTAAATATATTGATTATGAGGAAAAGTTTATGTATGACTTATTTGCTATTAATTATATGTTCATATTTTATGATATTGCATGGTAATCAGTAAACCCCAAATACATTATGCACTGAAAAATATACTACTTTAATAACTTAAATAAACATTCTTTAGATCCAAAATAATTACAAAACAAACTACATGTTTTTCTTAAAAATTACTCAAAGGATAAGAAAATGTGAAGTGAGGAGAGAAAAGTTGCCTCCTACCTGGTCCTGACCCTATGGAGAATATACCTCTGAGACCAACTGATCGTTAGCATGAGTTGAACCTTGAGTTTTGGAGGCTGGTGGTAAGGATTGCGTCAGGTTCACTGTCACGTAGTCATAATCAGCGAATTCAATTTTAAAAGTTAACCTGTACAGGACTGACAGGAAGGCCCATGCATAATGATTGACAGAAAGATACATATCCACAACAAGGTATTGGAGAACTGAAAAAGCATGTGCGAGCAAGGAGGCCTACAAACCTGACTCAGTTACACCAGCTCTGTCAGGAGGAATGGGCCAAAATTCATCCAACTTATTGTGGGAAGCTTGTGGAAGGCTACCCAAAATGTTTGACCCAACTTAAACAATTTAAAGGCAATGCTACCAAATACTAATTGAGTGTATGTAAACTTCTGACCCACTGGGAATGTGATGAAAGAAATAAAAGCTGAAATAAATTATTCTCTCTACTATTATTCTGACATTTCACATTCTTAAAATTAAGTGGAGATCCTATCTGACCTAAGACAGGGAATTTTTACTAGGATTAAATGTCAGGAATTGTGAAAAACTGAGTTTAAATGTATTTGGCTAAGGTGTATGTAAACTCCCGACTTCAACTGTACCAGACAGAATAATTTCCTTATAAAATTGTAATTTATTGAATCAAGATTATAGTGTTATCTGAATTACATTACATCTACTCATACATGCAATGTCACAACCAATAACACAAGTTCCAAATAAATATTTAGAAAATTAAGAAATACATCAAATACAAAGATACAGATTTATATTAGACATTATTTTTCTGTGGTACAAGCTCAAACATGAATCCTTTATCGCATAAAAATGCGATGAATATGTAATTTAATGTTTAGGAGAAATTGTACATTTAGGCACACAGAATTAAGGTTATTTTATACTGTACGTATGGCTGTAGACTGGCATGTGAATCATTGAGTCAACATACAAGCAGGTTGTGTGAAAAATAATGTGTACCAAAGCTGACACCTCAGATATGGACCTCCCCCATGTTAGCTGTGTTTTCCTCAGAAGCCACACTTTTCATCACCCCACTGGCCAGCTTCCTCCCCTGCAGCTCCAACTCCAGATTGACCCAGTTCTGGATCATCTGGTCCTTGTTCTCAAAGGCCTTCCTCTCCAGGACAGGGGTGACCGGGGTCACCGTGTAGTCCTGCCTTCTGTCCAGACACTCTTTGACCGATTTGACAAACAGGTAGAAGAGCTCAATGAGGTTGAGGAGTAGAGACACACAGGCTACCACCAGCATAAACCAGATGAAGACGGTCTTCTCTGTGGGTCTGGACAGGAAGCAGTCCACCTGGTGAGGGCAGGGGAAGCGAATGCAGACAAAGCGGGCTTGGAGGGTGAAGCCATACAGGTAGTACTGACCCATGATGAACCCCACCTCTAGAAGGATCTTCACCAGTAGGTGCACTACGTAACTGCGTAACAGACGGCCACGCAGGTTAATCTTTCCATTGTCGTCGCTGTACTTGGGGACTTTGTAGCCCTTCTTCAGGAAGTTATTGTCCTGCTCATCCTGTGCTTGCTTCTTCATCTTCTCCCTGACTTTCTTCTCTACGTGGATGACATGGAGGACATGGCCCAGGTACACCAGGGTTGGGGTGGAAACGGAGATGATCTGAAGCACCCAGAAGCGGACGTGTGAGATGGGGAAGGCGTGGTCATAACAGACGTTCTCACATCCCGGCTGGTCTGTGTTACAGACGAAGTCTGACTGCTCGTCCCCCCACACCTTCTCTGCCCCGGCCCCAAGGACCAGGATCCTGAAGACAAACAGGACGGTTAGCCAGATCTTCCCTATAACCGTGGAGTGGGACTGCACTTTGTCCAGCAGCCGGCCCAGCAAATCCCATTCACCCATTTCGATCAGTTAGACAGTTTGCTGTGGAAAAACATATCATTTATTTATCACATGGTGGATTACAGTTATGACAACTGTAAAATATATTTATTTTTTAAGCAATGTTTTAGAGAATGAATAGATCTCATAACAGCATGAATTAAACTGTACTAATTAAAATGTACCAATGAGCCCTCAATCAAGGACCATCTTTATCGGTTAATTTGGACCATTGAGTACATTGATAAGTGAAGGCCCATGAGGCCCAGATATCAGGAGCCATTCCAATAACAGACCTTTCCAATCTGGTGGGAACCAAGGACCTGACCTTGTTCAACCCCTAAACATTGATTGCTTTATTCAGAAGGCACAAGAAGATATTACAATTATTTCCTGCCTTGCCATTACAGTTTTCTGTGCCACAATATAATTTAGGGACAATTTCTGAATGCATACTCAAAATATAATTTTTGCCGAGCAACGTTTTCTGAGGAAAAACCTCTCACTGCAGATAGTTGTCTACTTTTCATCAAAGATGTACGTGTAGTCTAAGTATTGTTAAACTGGTATGGTCACATGTTATAAATTCTATAATTATAGACTATATCATTACTTTTTAGTCATGGTCAGCAAATCCCATCAATTCTTACAAAATGGGTGAAATATCCCTTTAATGTAAATTTCAATTGATTAACCTCACTGTCTACGCATTATGATTGTCTAATAGTATTACCAACAACTAACCAGAGGCAATGCACTTAACTATTTTAAGAGACCATTGCATTTTCGTAAACAAAAGAAGAGACCATTACATCTCACTTTCTAATGTGCAATTTGCACAAATCTGGTATTTGATCATGTAATTATCATGAGTGAATTGTTTGCTTTTTCAACTTACCAACGGACAAGACTTGAAGAAAGTTTGGAGCTCTCAATCTCTCAGGTGGGTGATGTCAGGGTGAAGGCGAGAATCTTTTCAACCTTCCCCTCCTATGGAGGAGGCGCCATCCAAACCACAACAAAGACTACATATCCCACCTCTTAGGCATGACAACATTCAATGACCTGTGGTAGTGTTGTTTCCCAAGGTGAAACCATAAAAGGATCATTTAGGTTCTTATGATATCTACTATATGGCTATACCAAACATAGAGGCAGGGTATGCCAATATTCAAGAAATGAAGCTTAAAAAATGTATTTAAAAAATGAGACACAGCCAACCTGCAACAAGATTGGATTGACTATAGATCAAGTATTGATTATCAAACACAATATGCATTTTGTGTCTAATAATTAGACATTGTCATTTCTTTGTCAGTTGTTACTTTCTAATTGTTCCATCAATTGTTTTGTTTTTAACAGCAGACTTTGCTTTCCATGTCCTTGTGAGGATTACAGACAATGACTGACCAAATGTTTACTAAATAATATTAAATATGTCAAGATGGTTGGTCCTTCTAAATATAAATTATTTACAAAACTATATTGTCTTTGTCGATAAAAACATGGATTTGTGTATGTTCAAAATTGAAATCCTAATCAAGTACATCAACAAATAATTATCTAGTAAGGCCCATCTTTATTGAGCTACATTTTTTATTATGCTATGCATAACATATGCATATTCACCAAGCATAAACTAGATGAAAAGTCATTCACAAGCACACAACTTCTTTCTGCAATCATATCACCAATAATTATAATCACAGCACTAAATAAAAAATAACCCATTTCAAAATCAATTCTCAAGTATAATGTCTTTACATAGGAATGTCAGTTAAACACCTCAAAGATCACAGTTCGCCAAATAAAAAACCTCTCAAATCACTGCAAAAAAGATCTCCATCACCTCACATATCTGTGCATTTCACAGACGACATTAACATAATTTGGGAGCTACACTCCTGGAGATTCTTTAGTATTATTATAAACTATGAATAAATATAGATTTTTATGCAGTTCAAGGTACAATCATTACACACACTAATTCATTTCCTAGTGTAATATCATCTGTATGATGACTGTATGACTACCAGCTAGGCATAACTTTGTTGTCATGAGTTCAGTGGACTGGAGTTCAGTTTTCTGGAGAGCTTTCAGCATGAGCTTGTGAGCATACGTGATCCCAAGACCCAAATCCATTCTGGCATTGACTGCACAAGTCGAAACTGGAAAAGATAACACCAACAATAGAGTCATGGTTAGTCTATAGTTTAAAATGGACTACGGACTACTAAATGTCCCTCAACTCTACCAAGACCCGTTTTATTCAGCACTGATCTGTGTACCTGCAGTGTATGGGGCCAATAGCCCGTGGTCCTGTGTGAGATGCCCAGGGTGGAGATGGCATGATGGGCATACACATCTGACTGTGGTACTAGCCAGCCGCCTGCTGATATTCCATGGGGCGCCACTTGGAAAGGTATCAGACTTTGCACAAAGATTCCCTGACGACCATATTCATGGTGCAAAGCACGGGAAAAGTTGTCAAGGTAAGCCTGAGAAAAAAAAGAGAAGAATCACAGCCATTTCAGTACAACAAAAGTAGGCTCATAAGAACACAATGCATTTAAAAACATGAACATCAAGGATCATTAGGGTCACACACACACCTAATAGGATGGGTGTGTGTGTGTGTGTGTGTGTAGAATCTGACCGTAGACGCAGAGAGAGCAGCTTTGCTTGGAGAGGGTCTATAACATGCCCCAGAAGAGATGTTCACCACTGCTCCACGTCTCCTCTCTACCATGCCAGGTAGAACCAGGCGCGTCATCAGTGTGGTGGCAGCAATGTTTCTGTTGATTACATCCCACAACAGGTCTTCAGACAGGCCAGTAAAGTTTGGCGAGTTGCGAAGGGAGTCATCCACACAGTTAACTAGAAAGCCTATATCTTTGTCCCTCAAGGCGTCTTTGACAGGCTTGCAAGCTGCATGGCCCTGACTGAAGTCTGCCACAAGCACCATTGTATCCACTCTGTGAGTCTCAGAGATGGCCTTGGCTGTGTCACTGACACTGGCACCCTCTTTGCTTATCAGGATGATGCAGATGCCCTGCCTGGCAAGCTCCTCTGCATAGGCTTTCCCTATGGCCTCTGAAGCACCTGTAATACATGGGCATAGAAGTCATGATAAGAACCATAATAAACAAACCCTTTATGTGAACTGTGGAATTATTCGCTTTCTATTCTATTGCATTTAGCATTACCATAAATGACAGCCCATTCACCAAAACGGTGGCCAAGGCGTGTGCTTGGCATCAGTCGAGGAAGGAAATGCACCCTGATAAAGCTGTAGCAGTCCCGCACGAGGATGACAGCTTTGCTGGCTGTATACAGAGCACCCACAACGGCTAGGGTTTCCACACATGAATTGCATGATCGAGCAATTTCTCTGTACAAAAGCTCAAAACTGTCAACAGCAGCCATAGCAGTCACGGGTTGGTATTTAGCTAGCTAAACTAAAGAACGCTACAAACAATGGTTCCCAATCCTAGCCAATCTGTATTATTTAGGTACTTCAATAAGCTAGCTAACGCTTTCTGATGATATCCTTTACTTGATACTTAGTTAAATTGTGTATCGTATTGTGCCATCTAGATAAATAGCAGTTCTAACAGGTGCAATCTTGAGCTAGTTTGGCTTTTGACAGACGCTCCTCTCTCAGGAAGGGATTGTAAACATGGGAACCACGTGACACCTAACACAGGAAAGGTATTTAAAGGCACAGTAACAAGCATAACGTCTGAAAACTTTTAAATATCCGGAGTAGCTGTAATTTATTGCATATCATGATTGTCAATGTTAACATTATAAATATTCAAACATCCTCCACCATTGGTGTTTGTTTGCACCCATTTTATCAGCATCATCTTTGCCTGTGACCCTCTTCTTTGAATATCCCACAATGCACGAGTGTGAGCTAGCTACGTGTTTCCATAGAGACAGTGGTCGAGCCAAGCTGCAGCAGGTTCGAAATGTGTACTAACGATACAACTAGCTAGCTAGCTATATTGACGAAATAAGCTGTACCATATGTAGCTAGTAAGTCTTACACTTTTTATTACAATGTGATACATTTGCAATGGTTTGGGAAAATGTTGAATTAAGTTATGTCATGCAAAGGACTTTATCTCATTTCCTTCGTTGCTAGCAAGCTAACGTTAGCTTTCGTCGTTGGCAAGCTAGCACCCTAATTGCAGAGAGATGTCAACAAACACAACATCAACTAGCTACATAGCAAGACAATGCATGTACTTGTTTTAATACAATTACATCGCTTGTCTAAGTAGCTAGTTATCGCATTGAAGTATCACTGTCGTAGCTGGCTAGTTAACTAAGTTGCCACTTTCTAATCTCAATTCTGCAGATACAGTATTTGTGCAGAGAAGAGTGAATGCACAACAAGACCATGTCTCATTTCTCAGCTGAGGCTGAGGCTGAACTTCAGTCTCTGTTGAGGCAACTTCTAAAAAGCATCAAAGACAGAATCTCAGGTGCACCATCCATTGAATGTGCAGAGGAAATCTTGCTACATCTGGAGGAGACTGACAAGAACTTCCATAAGTATTCAGAAATTAATTACTTTCTCCATTGTTACCATGAAATCTGTAGTAATTTGTATGCGTTATTATCTAATTCTTGTTTATTATCTGTCTCTTTTTTAGTTATGAATTTGTTAAGTACCTGCGGCAGTATGTGGAAAGCTCTCTGGGAGCAGTCATTGAGGAGGAGACAGAGGGCTGTGCCAGAGGAGAGGGACATGCTGTTGGGTCCGTTCAGGACACCTTGGTCCATGCTGTTACAAGGAAGACTAGAGAATCTGGAGAGTATGTATGGTGTCTCTCTCCAGTGTCCATAAAGCATTCCCAGTGAAGACGAGATGACTAACATGACTCGCCACTTATTTCACAGAATATTCCACTGCTTACAGGGGGAGTCTGTATGTGCTTGTATGCGTCACAATGAATACAATCTTGAAGCAGGAGTGTAGACTAGATCTTGCATTGCATTCACCCATCACATTTACTTTCTCATTTGTAGATACAAGCAAATGATGCAGACACTGAAGAACACGATGATGGTAGTTGTTGAATCATTGATTAATAAATTTGAAGAGGACCAACTGAGAAAGGAGGAGATGCACAGGGAGAGCCAACATCAGCAGTCAAACTGCCATTACACAGACAACTGCTCTGACAGTGATTCATCCTTCAATCAGGTAATAGCATGTAAAATAAATAGCCTACAAGTCACTCTTGTTGCCCTAATTTTCCAGCTCCCATCTTGGGCCGGGGGTTGAGTTTGGTCTGCTACTTTGTGGTCTGCTACTCTGCATTGCTATATAAATGCATTATGTGTTTTTGTTTGTGCTGGCAGAGTTCATATTGATTTATAGGGGGTTTAATCTAGGCCAGGACAAAGTGAGGATCCACCCAACTATCCACTGAATGGCTTTTTATACACTATCAGACCAGTATCATTATACAGTGCCTTGCAAAAGTATTCATCCCCCTTGGCGTTTTTCCTATTTTGTTGCATTACAACCTGTCATTTAAATGGATTTTTATTTGGATTTCATGTAATGGACATACACAAAATAGTCCAAATTGGTGAAGTGAAATGAAAAAAATAACTTGTTTAAAAAAATTCAAAACAATTAATAACGGAAAGGTGGTGCGTGCATATGTATTCACCCCCTTTGCTATGAAGCCCCTAAATAAGATCTGGTGCAACCAATTACCTTCAGAAGTCACATAATTAGTTAAATAAAGTCCACCTGTGTCCAATCTAAGTGTCAGTATATATACACCTGTTCTGAAAGGCCCCAGAGTCTGCAACACCACTAAGCAAGAGGCACCACCAAGCAAGCGGCACCATGAAGACCAAGGAGCTCTCCAAACAGGTCAGGGACAAAGTTGTGGAGAAGTACAGATCAGGGTTGAGTTATAAAAAAATATCAGAAACTTTGAACATCCCACGGAGCACCATTAAATCCATTATTAAAAAATGGAAAGAATATGGCACCACAACAAACCTGCCAAGGGAGGGCCGCCCACCAAAACTCACGGACCAGGTAAGGAGGGCATTCATCAGAGAGGCAACAAAGAGACCAAAGATAACCCTGAAGGAGCTGCAAAGCTCCACAGCGGAGATTGGAGTATCTGTCCATAGGACCACTTTAAGCCGTACACTCCACAGAGCTGGGCTTTACGGAAGAGTGGCCAGAAAAAAGACATGTTTGGTGTTCGCCAAAAGCCATGTGGGGGACTCCCCAAACATATGGAAGAAGATACTCTGGTCAGATGAGACTAAAATTGAGCTTTTTGGCCATCAAGGAAAACGCTATGTCTGGCGCAAACCCAACCCCTCTCATCACTCCGAGAACACCATCCCCACAGTGAAGCATGGTGGTGGCAGCATCATGCTGTGGGGATGTTTTTCATCGACAGGGATTGGGAAACTGGTCAGAATTGAAGGAATGATGGATGGCGCTAAATACAGGGAAATTCTTGAGGGAAACCTGTTTCAGTCTTCCAGAGATTTGAGACTGGGACGGAGGTTCACCTTCCAGCAGGACAATGACCTTAAGCATACTGCTAAAGCAACACTTGAGTGGTTTAAGGGCAAACCTTTAAATGTCTTGGAATGGCCTAGTCAAAGCCCAGACCTCAATCCAATTGAGAATCTGTGGTATGACTTAAAGATTGCTGTACACCAGCGGAACCCATCCAACTTGAAGGAGCTGGAGCAGTTTTGCCTTGAAGAATGGGCAAAAATCCCAGTGGCTAGATGTGCCAAGCTTATAGAGACATATCCCAAGAGACTTGCAGCTGTAATTGCTGCAAAAGGTGGCTCTACAAAGTATTGACTTTGGGGGGGTGAATAGTTATGCAGCTCAAGTTTTCTTGTCTTATTTCTTGATTGTTTCACACACAAAAATATTTTGCATCTTCAAAGTGGTAGGCATATTGTGTAAATCAAATGATTAAAAAAAAATCAAAATAGGAAAAATGCCAAGGGGGATGAATACTTTCACAAGCCACTGTACCTTATTAACATATTTATTTGGGTCTGGATAAGTAATACTATTAAACTTGTAAATCATTATATTATAGGTTAAATTTGTTTGTGTTGCCTCTGAGTTGAGTTTGTAATCAGTGTAATTTATGTTGTCTAATTATAGCTTACCAAGCACAAAAAAGTGAATTACACATTAACTACAGTTGCAAATGCTTCCATGTTTCCATACAGAGTTATGCATTTATCAAACAAGAACAGCTGCAAGTTCTTGCTGAAAAGCTCGACCCTAGTAGGCCTAAAGAGGTAAAAGGATTTCAATATGATTTCTATCCTGTATAATTTGCTAGGTTATTACTAGAGTGGCAGAGATTTAATTGATTGGAGCCAATGTTGTGTGGTCCCTGAGAGTGAAAGTGATGTGTTGTGCAGGTGCGCTGGGAGGCCCTGCAGGCTCTGTGTTGTGCCCCGCCCTCGGATGTGCTAAGCTGTGAGAGTTGGAGTGGCCTTCGCAGGAACCTCTCTGCTGCCCTGGCTGACCCCGACCCTGACCTCAGTGTAAGTCACTGAAAAATGCTCACAGAAAAGTTGGCTCCTATGAGTGGAGATAACATGTTCTCAGAGAAATGCCTGTCTTATGTCATTTTGAAAGTCATATTAAAGAGCCAACAAAGGAGAATGAATACTGTCATCCTTGTTTTGCTTATATAACAAAATGTTAAAGGTAAAGAGCTGGACAGCTGAGTTTGGCAACGGATGATTTCTAGTCTATTAACTCAAAGTAAAGTAGGCCATCTTCACACATAGTTACACATTGTCAGTATTGCTTGTAGGCATACTTAGAGAATACATTTGAAACCTCAGATGAATACAAGGACCTTCAATAGAAAAGGATGCTCTGATATGGGAATTCACCCCCTAGGGAACTTGTGTACTCTGTTTTGTAAACAATTTGAGTTGTTTTCAGTCTGATGAACATTTGTCACAGTGAAATTGCAACAATTCACATCTGCATGAGTCCTATTTCCTATGTCTGTTTCTCTCCTCAGATTTCTATGTCTTATTTTGTTTACTCTCCACTCAGGATAAGGTCCTGCGCTTTTTTGCAAAAACATTATCCTGTTCTCCACTGAATGTAACAAGAGAGATCTACACCAGTTTAGGTAATGCATTTCTTTTTCCCATCTATGTTTCTCAAATGTATTGTCTCTTTTTTATTCAAAGTCTGATGTGGATAATGAATATTTTGCCTTCTGACGAATAGCCAAAAGTCTGGAGTCTGACTTCCTGTACCATAAACTGAGCCTCCCGACTGGATCAGCTGGGATTGATGTAAATAGACAGGACATTACCCGTCTCCTAAAACAAGTATGCACCCTCTCTAATGGGATACTTTCATGGCAGTTATACCTACAGTGGGGGAAAAAAAGTATTTAGTCAGCCACCAATTGTGCAAGTTCTCCCACTTAAAAAGATGAGAGGGCCTGTAATTTTCATCATAGGTACACGTCAACTATGACAGACAAAATGAGAAGAAAAAAAATCCAGAAAATCACATTGTAGGATTTTTAATGAATTTATTTGCAAATTATGGTGGAAAATAAGTATTTGGTCAATAACAAAAGTTTCTCAATACTTTGTTATATACCCTTTGTTGGCAATGACACAGGTCAA